TAGCACACTGTAGTCAGTGACACAACACTAATTCAGTTACAACCGTATGACAGTTGCAAAATGCCAATCAGCACACGATGTGTGGCAACATTTTACTAAACATTTCAGATTACCGTAGTTAAGCAATGGACTTTTTGTTTGTTTGTTTGTAAAAATTCTACTTGCTGTCTAATAAATTGACCATGACTATAACTGACATTAAGTAAATGCTCAAGGTATTTTGTAATAATTTACAATCACTAAGAAATTAGACCCTCCACATACCATAGTTAAATTTCTGTAACAAATGAGCCACCAACTTTTTACAGTATTCACAAAATATGGGTACAATTACAATCTGGACTATTAGGTGCAGAGTTCCAACTTAATTCCTCTCTTCTAGAAATCTGCATTCCTATCTTTCTAGGCAGAAAAAAAAGCAAACAGTGAATTACCGCAACTTTTTTTACAATGCTTTTTAACATTGACTCTATTGCCAATTTAATAATATTGGTTTAGCAGCTTTATCTCGTGGAAAGGCAATTCAAGCACATTTGAAGAACACTAATGTTTATTTTACAAATGTTTATATGACATTTCATCTATGTGTAGTTAGCAAAGTCCTTGTGTGTTTAAATAGATTTGTCATAATACAGATAAAAGATAACATTTCAAAGCACTGTGCCAAAAGTGATCTCACCAATAAGTTGGCACTGTAGTTAATTCACTGACAGATCAGATCCACAAGTTTATATTAAGCAAAGGGAAAATACTGGAAATAGCACTGAACATATGTTATCCATGATGCCTACTCAAGTAAGTTCTCTCTCTTCCACTTCACACACAGCTAAAAGACAAGACTGAGCTCAGATACACTTGAGTTGTATTAACTTAAGAGAGTGACAACCAATGCAAAAGTGAAAGAAAAGCAAGATATATTTTAAAATGTGTTTAATGGCAAAATAGGATTTGCAGTAAGGATAGCAGTCAATCACCAGTTTGATTTCTCTTCTCCTTTGCTGTTAATGGTGGCCATAATTTCTGAGCCATTATAAAATCTGACACAACAGAACATTTACAGGAGTGAAATGTCAGCACCAAAACAACAGCACAACAAAAGGATGAAATCGCTTCACAATAAAGAACTTTAATCCAGAATGAGACCCAGTTGGCAAAGTCAAAGGAGTAACAGTTGCAGGAAACCAAAGTCACTCACTGCTGAAATATTAATATGGAGCATTGAAAAGAAAGTACTGTACATATTGTAGGACCTCAGTCTCCCATAGAAACTAATATGGGCTTTTGAGCAGCACTATAAACAAAACACCACTAGAACTGTATGGACGCAAGTTACACAAAATAAAGCTGTACAGTATAACATAAATAAGAAATACTTTGTGATGGATCTCAGCATCAAACAAATCATCTTCCTTGGAGGCCTTAGAGTAGCCGCATCTTTTACAAGGCTCATACAGTTACTTGGAAGCTTTCTTCAGCTGTTTGTGCCTCCATGTCCATGCAAACTGTGGTTCTGCTAGGACTCTCAAGGGCTTTGGACAGCCTTAATGAAGGGTAGTTACATGTGGAGCACTAGACCTTTGCTATCTATGAAACCAAAAAGAAGCACACTGAAATATTTATTTTATGTATTTAATTTGTATGCCACTCATCTCACTATTCAAAATATAATAAATATAACAGTGAGGAAATAATTAGAAGATCATTCTTACTTCAGGACAAAATATCTTAATCTTCACAAGCTTGAGCAATCAGTACAGATAGTCCACAATTTACGATCACAATTGAGCCCAAAATTTCTTTTGCTAAGTTGTTAAGTGAGTTTTGTTCCATTTTATGATCTTTCTTGCCACCATTGTTAAATGAATCACTGCAGTTGTTAAATTAGTAACATGGTTGTATATCTGGCTTCCCCATTGATGTTGTTTGTCAGAAGGTTACACAAGGTGATTACATGACCCTGGAGACACTGTAATCACCTTTTGCAACCTTCTGATAAGCAAAATCAATGTGGAAGCCAGATTCATTTAACAACTGTGTTACTAATTTAACAGCAGAAGTGATTCACTTAACAACTATGGCAAGAAAGGTCATAAAATGGGGCAAAATAACTTAACAACTGACTCGCTTAGCAATAAAAATGTGGGGCTTAATTGTGGTCGTCAGTCAAGAACTACCTGTAGTCCTTAGTTCTATGTCAACTAAGTCATTTTTACTGCAGTTCATACAAATGCATTTAATAAATAAATAGTATTTCAAATTACTTATTATAACTGCAATTATTTATCTGGACAGTATCTTTACTGTTTATTAATGCACAAGGAGGTTCTTCATTAATTTTAATGTTTTCAATATCCTGACCATCATTGGAGTTCAAAATAAAACTCTATCTGGGCAAGTAAAAATAATAAGAATAGCAGGTTGATAAATGTTAACATGCATTTACTTAGCAATTATTATGCTAAATAATTAGTTATGAAGTAATTATGCATCACATATTATCCGTTATTCATTTTTATATGAAAGAGAAGAAATTTTTCTTTATTTCTTATGATCCCTTATTAAGTTTTACATTGTAAGGTTGTCAAACATGCATATTTAAAGTAAATATCACAATCAAATAATAAACCACCGAGCTTCTTCACGGCATCCCTAATTCAGAAAAGAAGTCCAAGAATCTGAACCAAACACTTCATTGATCAAACAATAGCACTCATTTTTAACTTAAATGTGTACCGTAATCACTTTATTTTTAATTTAAATGTGTACCATAACTTGTCATTTTAATAATATTTTTAAATCTTACCAGGAAATGCAGAAACAAAATCTGAGGCATCTGCACAGAGCATACGTTCTATCGCTGTCCCAAAATTTTATATTACTATAAAGTTTTTTTAAAGCATTATGTAATTTAATTTAATTTAATTAATCATATTTCTATGCCACTCAACTCCCAAGGGACTCTGGGCGGCTGTATGTAAACTGTATGTTTTCTTAAAACTGGCTCTAGCTAAAATTCAGACTTCAGTTACCTAATGAATCCTCAAATGATGAAAAGATCTCATTTGATTAGAGAGATTATATATTTGGTAATTTTATCAGCTCATTAAAATACCACAGGCCAGCTAAAATGACTTGGCAGTATGCCCGATACTAATTTCCTAACTTGCCTCAATTGTTCATAAAGTATATGCCTTGGAGCAAGCATTTGAGTTAACACCCTTCTTCAAATAATAACAGTGTGTACTTTTAAAATACTTTTCAGAAGAATGGAAGAAAGGAGACTTTCATTTAACTTTGAAAGGCTAATCTGACACTATATAGAAAGAGTTTTATATATATATTATATATAGGATATATAGGATTATATTTATACCCTATGACTATCATTAAGGGTTGTACCTTATGATTCTTGATGAACGTATCTTTTCTTTTATGTACACTGAGAGCATATGCACCAAAGACAAATTCCTTGTGTGTCCAATCACACTTGGCCAAATCAAGAATTCTATTCTATTCTATTCTATTCTATTCTATTCTAGTCTAGTCTAGTCTAGTCTAGTCTAGTCTAGTCTAGTCTAGTCTAGTCTAGTCTAGTCTATATATATATATAGAATCTCATCAGATTAGCTGTTCAAAGTTAAATTTTATATATATATATATGTATGTACGTATGTACGTACGTACGTACGTACGTATGTATGTATGTATGTATGTATGAATATGTATGTCTTTGGTTATTCGGGTTTTCTCCCATGTAAAATTGGAAGTCCTAGAAGCACGAAGCCAAAAACACCAGCCTGAAGATGATGAATGAGATTTCGTCAAAACGTCGCCAAGACACTTCCAATTTTACACGGGAGAAAACCCGAATAACCAAACACCTACATACAAACACCCGTGAAAACTTCCGAAAACATATGTGTGTGTGTGTGTGTGTATGTATATGTATGTATATGTATATGTGTATATATATATGTGTGTGTGTGTGTGTATGTATATATATATGTGTGTGTGTGTGTGTGTGTGTGTATACACACCTTAAAAGGCAGAAATAGCTATCTGAGTCTCCCAAAGAGCAACACAGAGTTGCAGTTTGTCAGCAGAAAAAAGGCCCAGAAACTTGTGAATGAGATTTCACAGAACCTAGGGCTGTAGAACAACTAAGTTTACGTAGGTAAAACCTGGCTAGAAAGAATATGCATATATATATATATATATATATATATATATATATATATATATATATATGTATATATACACGTATATATATATGTGTGTGTGTACCTGTTCAAAGTTATACACACACACATAGACACTTTTCAGGTCTTTTCAGATCTTTTCCTTTTCCATTCCCTCTAAAGTTATATTACATTCATATAAGGCAAGAATCCCTAAGTACATCTTTATAAAACTAATCTCTTCTCACAGACGTGGAAAAGACTGAAACATGGATCGTAAAGAGAAAAAAGAAAATTTCAAATGAACCACCCATTGTGACATTCCTACCAAATCATCTGCCAAGCGAACCATCGCTCCCCAAAACCTCATTTATTTGTTTTCTCCCAAATCTGCCCCTCACCCACCTAAAAGGCCATATGGTAAAAGCTACAGGTCCAATCATCCCCAGTTTAAGAGAGAGAAACCCCATCATCTCTAGCCAAATCAGCCGTGATTGGGAGGGGGGGGTGAGAGGGGGTGAGAAAGGGAAGGGGGCTCTGACTGGCTGGGAATGACGGAGGGCTATAATCCAATGCCCTTAATAAAAGGCATGAGGGCAAAGAAGCCGAGTCCCATGGGAGTTGTAGTCCAACGGCTCTCCAAGGCACGTCAGTCACCGGCTCAGGCTGCCTCCTTCCCCATCCCAAAATAGACGCAGCAGCCTCGCTTGTCAGTCTTCCCCACGCCGCGCAAAAGGAGCGGGGGGAGGGGGGAGGGCAAGGCAAAAAAAAATACGCAGGTGGGACTCTCGCCCCCTCCCCCCCCTTCCCCCGAAAGCTCACCTGAAGCCCAGCTGAGAAACGGAGGGGGCGGCTCCCAAACCCGGAGCGGGAGCGGGGAAGAGGTCACACCAACAGGCGGAGGAGGCAGGAATACGGCACGGAAGCGGTGAGGGAGAAAAGACGCCCGGCAAAGAGGGATCGATGAGGAAGGAAATTATGAGGTAGATGCCACCGGCGGGCGAGCTGCAGTTGTGGGGGGGGGGGGGGGTTTTTTTTTTTTTTTTTAACCCCTGAGGCGAGCTGCATCAAAACCGCTCGCTCCAGAACTCCCCTGATGTCACTTCCTGTTTCTCCGGAAGAGCCCGATAGTCCGCCACACACCATAGAGATGGACACCGTAGTAGAGAACGGAACCACAAGCGAAGCGTAATCATGTGATTTGAGCGCCTAGACGGGGCATGGAAGACGACCCGGGGGAGGGCGAGCGGGGGTCTGCCAGCGTCTCATAGGTTTATGCTTTCCTGGGCGCCTTTTGCTGGGAAAGAGAGGCGACCAGAGACCCTCCCTTGTGCTCGGGTGTGCAAAGCAGGCTTCATCTGAATCAGAATAGAGCTGAAAGGGACCTTGGAGGTCTTCTAGTCCAGCCCTCTGCTCAAGCAGGAGGTCCTATACCGTTTCAGACAGGTGGCTGTCCAGTCTCTTCTTAAAAACCTCCAGTTATGGAGCACCCACAACTTCTGAAGGCAACCCATTCCACTGATTAATGGTCCTCACTCTTAGAAGTTTCTCCTCGATTCCAAGTTTATTTTATTTTATTTATCAAATTTCCAAGTTGCCTTGGAAAATCAGTTGACACCCCCCCTCCTTATTCTTTGTAATGGCCGTTCAAATATTGGAATACTGCTATCATGTCCCTCCCCCAGTCCTTGTTTTCTCTAAAGGTAAAGGTAAAGGTTCCCCTCGCACATATGTGCTAATCGTTCCCGACTCTAGGGGGTGGTGCTCATCTCCGTTTCAAAGCCGAAGGGACAGCGTTATCCAAAGATGTCTCCGTAGCCGACATGATTAAACGCCAAAGGCACACAGAACGCTGTTACCTTTCCACCAAAGCTGGTCCCTATTTTTCTACTTGCATTTTTTATGTGCTTTTGAACTGCTCGGTTGGCAGAAGCTGGGACAAGTAACGGGAGCTCACCCCGTTACGCGGCATTAAGGATTCAAACCGCTGAACTGCCGACCTTTCGATCGACAAGCTCAGCATCTTAGCCACTAAGCCACCATGTCCCTTACTTCTCTAAACTAGCCAAACCCAAATCCTGCAACTGTTCTTCACATGTTTTAGTCTCCAGATCTTTAATTGTCTTAGTTGCTGTATCTGTATTGAATGGTGCTTTATTTAGTAAATAAAATAAATTCATGAATTCAGTAAATAAAACAATTCATGATTAAACACAAAGCATATACTCAGCTCATTACATTATTTCTCCTGTTGCATTTACTTCCATTCTGAAGTTTGCAGCCAATTTTGCAACAATTTGCTATTAACTGAATAAAACCATTTTTTAAAAAAGGTTTTCCAATTTAATAGCATATCACTGCATCCTTTATTCACTATCCTTTTCAGCATTTCTAAAAATTGTTATTCTATGTATATTTTATTTATTTTTATCCTGCCTTTATTATTTTTATAAATTCAGTATGGCAAACACCTATTAGTGAGGAAGAATGCTCAACTAGTTTTAATTTTATTTACTCTTATAATAAAGTTAAATGTAATTAATATAATTAATAATTAGTTGTGCATTTAATTTCTCATGTTAAAACTTATGATTGGGCAAGAGTTCTTGGAAATTTCTAAGTATAGCAGCCCTGGGATCTCAGACTAAATACTGTACATCTGCCTCAGTATAATGACTAAATATAGTCATTCCAAAATAGTTAATTCCAAAATTGTTCAAAGGATCAAATTTTCAATGTCAAATTATTGTCAACAGCAATGTGAAACTGAAAATGTCAATTTCAGTATGGAAATAGATTTTTCTCAGATCAAGTTTCAGCGGTTATTTTAGTGCTGTTTCTCTTTAAATGTTTTTTACAAAGGCTATGCTGGTGTTGTTCTATTAGTATAGCAAAACCAATGTTGACACGATCAATATCTAGGGGAACAACAAACACTAGATCTTTGTAAAAGTTGGCTCATTCAGATAAAGTTAGTAATTGGCAGGATTTGATATTGCAATCAGCATGAGCTTCCTAAGAATAGAATAGAATAGAATAGAATAGAATAGAACAGAACAGAACAGAACAGAACAGAACAGAACAGAACAGAACAATAATCATTTATTGGCCAAGTGTGATTGGACACACAAGGAATTTGTCTTGGTGCATATGCTCTCAGGGAACATAAAAGATACCTTCATCAAGAATCATAAGGTACAACACTTAATGATAGTCATAGGGTACAAATAAGCAATCAAATCATATTAGGAAACAGTCAATATAAATTGTAAGGATACAAGCAACAAAGTTAGTTTTACAGTCATAAGTGGAAGGAGATGGGTGGTGGGAACAATGAGAAAATTAATAGTGCAGACTTAGTAAATAGTTTGACAGTGTTGAGGGAATTATTTGTTTAGCACACATTTTCTTTTTTAAAAAGCCAGATGCATATTTACTATGGGTAGTCCTCAATATACAACAGTTCGCTTAGTGAACTTTTGAAGTTACAACAACACTAAAAAATGTGACTTATGACCATTTTTCATACTTATAACCGTCGCAACATTCCCATGTCATGTGATTTACATTCAGATGCATGGCAACTGACTCATATTTATGTTGGTTGCAGTGTCTCGGAGCAACGTAGTCACCCTTTGCAACCTTCTGACAAGCAAAGTCAATTCACTTAACAAACGTGTTACTAATTTAACAACAGTAGTGATTCACTTTACAAATATGGCAAGAAAAGTCATAAAATGGGGCAAAATTCACTTAACAAATTTCTCACTTAGCAACATAAATTTTGGGGTCAGTTGTACGTTGAGGACTACCTGTATTGTTCTAATCTTCAGCAATGCTCAGTCCTGTATCGGGATGATAAATTTTAGGAACTCCCCTAAAAAAGGCCAATTTGCTTTGAATGACTACATTCTATAGGTAGTCCTCGACTTAGAACCACAATTGAAACCAGAATTTCCATTGCTAAGCAAGGCAACTTTAAACTGAGTTGCAACGTGCAAAGAGTAGCGCAGCCTTCGCTGGCCAGAACAAGGTAATGATGCTGTTATGGCAAGGGGGGAGTGTGGCAGCGCAGGCAGGCCAAAGCAACGGGTGTCGGCGCTTTCTTCCCCCTGCTGTGGCTTCCTGTCGACTGAACCCACCAGTGGCTGGCCCCGTCCCTCACCCTCCCCTGAGAAGAGAAGAGCAGGGATGGAGATTTGCTCCATATTCCAGAGGGGAGCAAAGCTTCATCTCTTGCTGGGTCTTACAAGTGTTTCTTCTGGCCCTTTTTGTTGCTCCATGCACCTTGGTCTCTCGGAGAGACGCATGACTTCTTCTCAGCCCCAAGAAACTGGCCTGGCCCGGCCTGGCCATTTCACTCCACTGCTGCAGTTGGTGCCTCCATGGCCTGCCTGCTGCTCTTGCAGTGCAGTTAAATTTAGCAATGTTTACAATGGGGGAGACAAAGTCCCCTTCTCCTCCTGGAGCCCATTACGACACGGAGCATCAGTTGCAACCAGGTCAGGCGAGTGTCTCTGGGCAGAGAGCAGGTCATGCATCTCCCCAAGCGACCAAGGTGCACCCAGCACCAACAAAGGCCGAAGAAGCACCTGCGAGACCCAGAGAGCATCAGAGAATCAGAAAGAGAGAGAGAGAGAGATGAGAGACAGACAGACAAAGAGAGGGGGGGAGAGGAGAGAGAGTGAAAGAGATGAGACAGATAGAGGGGGGAGAGAGATGAGAGAGAGACAGAGATGAGAGAGACAGACAGTCAGAAAGACAAAGAGAGGGTGGGGAGAAAGAGATGAGAGATCCCAGTGTTTTGTTTTCTGTGGGAAACAAGTCCAAATGGCTCTTTGACTATTTAAAGTTGCAGGAACAGGCGACCAAACTAAGTGCCTGAAGGGCCCCATCCCATCACTGTGAGTCCAGGCGCTTCAGCAAGCGGTGCACTGGATTCATATTAATGGTCCGTGGGATTTAAAATTATGAATTTAGTGGTCCCTGAGGTCCGAAAGGTTGGTGACCCCTGTTTTAAGATAAAGATTTCCTCTGTCCAATTGTATCCGACTCTAGGGGCTGGTGCTCATTTCCATTTCTTAGTCAAGGGAGAATTACACTGCTATACCTCAAAATTATCTCAGAAATCACCAACAGACTACTACAACTACTACAACAGCCTAAGCAAACCAAAACACCCTGAAGAAAAAACAGGAGTCATCTACGACATACAATGTAAGGACTGCAACAATTACTATGGAGGTCGAACAGTCAGAACACATCCATGAATACCAACTAGGAGTCAGAAGACATGATGAAAATTCTTTAATTTCACAACACATAGACAGATTTAACCATAGTTTCATAGACCAGGCCAAGTCCCAAAACACTAGGGAATTTTAGGAGCCTGGCACTCTGACAAATTAGCCATCAACAGACACAGATATTAACATCTCTAGACTATGCAAAAGAGACAATCAACCAGCCCAAAAGGAAGGGAACAAAAAAAATATCTCCACCAGCTATCAGCACCCAGATCAACATAGATTAACTCCAATGTTAACATCAGACCAACAATCAAATAATACTCCAATCAAGAAACTGCCAAAAAACCCAACAGCAAACAGCCCAACCAAAGAATCTCTAAAATCACCCCCACCAACACTGACAGGGCAAGCCTACCAGAATATAAACTGACAGCAAACCACATTCCTCACTAGCATGGATGTTACCTAGTTTGGGTCTGTCAGAAAACAAGCAAGCTCAGAGAGCACCAAGGACTCCTCATACCTAATATTCCTTTCTCCTATTTCCCCCCACAAATACAACCCTGTGAGGTGGGTTGAGCTGAGAAAAAGTGACTGGCCCAAAGTCACCCAGCCAGCCTTCAATGTCTTCTGGTCTCTAGCCTGGTGCCTTAACTACTAGACCAGAGTCCCTTGGGAGTTGGGTGGCATAGAAATGCGACAAAATAATAATTAATAATAATAATAAATAATAATAATAATAATAATAATAATAATAATAATAATAATAATAATAATAATAATAATAATAAATAGACCAAACTGTTTTCCTGATGATCCACTTATTAACAAAATTTAACACCACTTAGTTTTTTTGAAGAATGGGCAAAGCTAATTAATTGCTAAATTAGCCTAATCAGAAGGTGGCTTATTACCTACCAGAGGAATAGAAGCACATGTTCGTTGTGGCATGTGTTATGTGACAAGCCAAAAGGCAAGCCTCCAAAAAAAATTCCATAGACCTCACACATTTTTATCCAATACCTGAACACACTTGTAAGTGGATCATAAGCTTCCTAACAAACAGGAAGCAGCAGGTGAAGCTAAGCAGAATCACATTAGATACCTGCACAAGGGCCTCCCAAGGCTGTGTGCTCTCCCCACTTCTCTTCTCTCTGTATACCAATAACTGCATCTCTAACGATCCATCTGTTAAACTACTGAAATTTGCAGATGACACAACAATGATTGGTCTCATTCGAGACGATGAATCCGCATACAGACAGGAGGTTGAACAACTAGCCTTGTGGTGCGACCGGAACAATCCAGACAGACACAGACTTCAGAGGATAATTAGAACTGCAGAAAAAACAATTGCTACCAACCTGCCTTCCATTGAGGATCTGTATACTGCACAAGTCAAAAAAGGGCTGTGAAAATATTACAGGCCCCCCACATCCTGGACATAAATTGTTTCAAAACTCTCAAAATGACGCTATAGAGAACTGCACTCCAGAACAACTAGACACAAGAACAGTTTTTTCCCAAAAGCCATCATTGTGATAAACAAATAACTGCACTACTATTAATCTCATCGTTCCCATCACCTATCTCCTTCCACTTATGACTGTATAACTGTAACTTTGTTGCTTGTATCCTTACAATCTATATTGATATTTTTTTCCTGATTGCTTATTTGTACCCTATGACTATCATTCGGTGTTGTACCTTATGATTCTTAATGAACGAATCTTTTCTTTCATGTACACTGAGAGCATACGCACCAAGACAAATTCCTTGTGTGTCCAATCACACTTGGCCAATAAAAAATTCTATTCTATTCTATTCTATTCTATTCTAGAAAATTAAGAGACATTGAAACACTTTGGTCAAATGATATATTAGTGGGATAAAAAGTTATTTTACAACAGCCTATTGAAATTCTTACATTAAAACAACATATCAAATGTGCAGTCAATTATATAATACAGCCCTTTAACTGAACAAAACAGAACAACTGAGAATTGCATATTGTATGTGGATCTGATTGGAATAAATTGTAAGTGTGTTGTTGTTAGTTGCGAAGTCATGTCCGACCCATCGCAACTCCATGGACAACATCTTCTACCTTCCTGTCCTCTACCATCCTCTGGAATCCATTTAAGCTAACACCGACTGCTTCAGTGACTCCATCCAGGAACCTCATTCTCTGTCGTCCCCTTCTTCTTTTGCCCTCAATCGTTCCCAGCATTAGGTACTTCTACAGCGAGTCCTTCTTTCTCATTAAGCGGCCAAAGTATTTGAATTTCATCTTCAGGATCTGGCCGTCTAAAGAGCAGTCAGGGTTGATCTCCTCTAGGACTAACTCCTCTAGGTTTGATCGCCTTGCAGTCTGAGGGACTCCTTGCAGAGTCTTCTCCAGCACCATAGTTCAAAGTCCTCGATTTTTTGATGCTTAGCCTTCCTTATGGTCCAACTTTCACAACCATACATTGCAACTGGAAACACCATAGCCTTGACTATACGCACTTTTGTTGGCAGGGTGATGTCTCTGCTTTTTAGTATGCTGTCTAACTTTGCCATAGCTTTCTTCCCCAGGAGCAAGCGTCTTTTAATTTCTTGGCTGTAGTTCCCTAAAAGGCGAACCTTTTAGACACTGAGTGCCCAAATTGCACGCATGTGCATGCCCAAATTGGAAAAAAAAATGCTTTTAAAAGCCTCTGACAATCCCAACTGAGTTGCTTGATTGTTAGAGGCTTTTAAAAGCATTTTTTTCTACAACCTCTTCGGCCGAAGAGGTTGAAGAAAAAATGCTTTTAAAAGTTAAAAAAAAAAAGTTGGCCACGCCCACCCAGTACATTACCCCCCACTACCAGGCCACACCCACAGAACCGGTAGTAACAAATTTTACATTTCACCATTGGTTCATACCCGAGTGGCCTAGTGCTTTTCCCTACTTTCTTCAATTTAAGCCTAAATTTTGCAATGAGAAGCTCATGATCTGAGCCATCGCCAGCTCCTGGTCTTGTTTTTACTGACTGTATAGAGCTTCTCCATCTTTGGCTGCAGTGCACATAGTCAATCTGATTTCTGTGTTGACCATCTGGTGATGTCCATGTGTAGAGTCGTCACTTGGATTGTTGGAAAAGAGTGTTTTCGATGACCATCATATTCTCTTGACAAAATTCTATCAGCCTGTGCCCTGCTTCATTTTGTACTCCAGAGCCAAACTTGCCTGTTATTCCGGTTATCTTTTTACTTCCTACTTTAGCATTCCAATCCCCCATGATGATAAGGACATCATTTTTTGGTGTTAATTGTAGAAGAAGTTGTAGGTCTTCATAGAACCAGTCAACTTCAGCCTCTTCAGCACCAGTGGTTGGGACATAGACTGGGACTACTGTGATGTTGAATGGTTTGCTTTGGATTCGAACTGAGATCATTGTGTCATTTTGGGGATTGTATCCCAGTACTGCATTTCCTATTCTTTTATTGACTATGAAGTCTACTCCATTTCTTCTGAGAGATTCTTGCCCGCAGTAGTATACCTGATGTTCATCTGTAAGTGTATTACAGAAACACAATTTGCTATGCTTCTTATTTTTTAATACAGGGTTTTATTATTGTTCTGTTCTTTAAATGTGATGTTCTGATATGGCCCAGAGCTAATCAATAACATATTTCTATTATGACCAAGGACCTTCTTTGGACTGGACTGATTTGGACTATTTAATAAAGTGATGGTCATGGTATTTCCTGCAATATTAACATGGTTCTGGGTGAAACCCAAGATTCTTCTACCACACGATTTTGCTGTAACACCTTACAAATACATCATTGCAATTATGCCCTTGTTAGAATTTCACTTGTTACAAAATGTCTCTTGCCTTTCAAGTTTTATTATTGCTTCAGAGTCTTTAAGCTGAGTCAAAGTCTTTGACTCAGTTGGCTTATTATTTAGTATGCAGGGAGTCCTCAATTTAGGAACACAACTGAGCCCAAAATTTATGTTGTTAGGTGAAAATTTCGTTAAGTGAATTTTTCCCACTTTACGACTTCCCTTGCCAGATTTGTTGAGTGAATCACTGCAGTTGTTAAATTAGTAACATGGCTGTTAAATGAATCTGGGTTCTCCATTGTCTTTGCTTGTCAGAAGGTCGCAAAATGACTCCTGAACACTGCAACCATCATAAATGAGTCAGTTGTCAAGCCTCTGAATGTAAATCACATGACTATTGGGATGTTGCAATGGTCATAAGTGACAAAAATGGTCATAAGTCACTATTTTCAGTGCCATTGTGACTCTGAATGGTCACTAAACGAATTCGAGGACTACCTGTACTTACAGGCAAAAATCTCTGTAATTTATACTTTAAAAAATAATAATAACCTAACGTATGTCCCAAAGGTGCTTTTTTTCAAGAGGCAACTGGATTTTTTGGTTTTTCTTTGAAGACGTTTTGCTTCTCATCCAAGAAACTTCTTCAGCTCTGACTGGATGGTGGGGAATGGAAATCCTTCTGAAGAAACTTCTTGGATGAGAAATGATAAGTCCTCATAGAAAAACCAGAAAGTCCAGTTGCCTCTTCAAAAAAAAACACCTTTGGGACAACCATGATCTGGATGACTGAGAATCTCTATAGACACTTAAAACCAATGTATGCTGACTATTGTTAAGGTACTTTATAGTACTCTGTGCTCCTTCAGCAGCTTTCCAGATTTATTTGAAATGTCCCCACAACTACAGATGATATTTATGATCATTGTAATAATTGTAACAATTTGTAATAATTGTAACAATTTGTCTGGTTGCTTCCCATTCTCTGGCAATCTCTTTTTTGTCTATTCCCAAAATTGATCAACAGGTGGGATATTCTAAAGCGCCGATTGGCCAATCTGTCGTCCACATCCTTATTCCCATTTGCTCCCCGACCTATCCATCCCCCCGTTCTTCTCACCCATTGGCTGCTTCTCAGCTTGTCGCTTTCATTCTTCCGCAACTGTCTTGCGCCCCCCACACCAACACACTCCCCGCAAGCCCCGCCCCCCTCCTGCCATCGGGCTAGACCCGTCCGCCAGTGGCATTCCCGTCCGGATGATTGGCAGGCGCTCCGGTCATCTCCGGGCGATGGTGCGATCGGTCCACGCCGTGACGCGAGAACCCGTCGCCGTCGCCATTGGCCGCGCGCGTCGCGGGGCGTGTTGCTTGGCGATGTGGCGCGCGACGCGGAGGTTGGCGGCGGCAACGGCCGCGGCGGCGGCGCCGTCGTTGTCCCTGGCGGGCGGGGGAAGAGCAGCGCCGCTCCATTTATCATCGCGGGCGGGCGGCTGTTTCTGTCAGTCGAGCCTCCGCGCACCGAGGTCGATCTCGCCTGCCTCTCTCGCGGACCCGAAGGTGAACGGAGCGTGGTAAGTACCGAGATCGGAGGGGTTTGGTGGGCGGAAAACCTCGGCCACCCCTTTAAAACCTTACACCCTTGAAGGCTGCTTCTAACGAGGGAAGGTGCTCTGGAACTTACCGTTGCTCTCGCAGCAGCTGAAAAGATCCCTCTCTTAGATCCGCTTTTTCGGGGTGCGATTCCCTTTGGTGACTCAAAAAACCATGGGTCTTTGACTCACCTGGCTGGGGAAGATGGGGAGTCCGGCAGACTGGCGTAATAGCGCCATCTGATTAGATGAGCCTGAATAAAAGCGCAATAACGCTAAATTATTCCTTCCTTCTTCCTCCCTTTTTTTCCCTCCCTCTTCCCCCCCCCCCCCCACCCCAAATAAGTGGGGCCAAAGTTGAGAACTTTTCTTGGAGATCCTCAATCATCCTGGTTATGGTTGTCCCGAAGGTGCTTTTTCCAAAAGACAAAACTGGACTTTCTCGGGAATTTTTTCCTTCCCCCCCCCCCCACCCTTTGGTAACGTTTCACTTGTCATCCCAAGAAGCTTATCCAGTTCAAAACCGAATTAAGCTGCTTGGATGAGAAGGAGAAACTTTCGTTTAAGTTTGTGGCTTGCTTTTCTGCAAGGAGCTCTGGTGGCTACATGAAATTTATTTTTTGCTCTATTGTTTTTGTTGTTGTTTTTAAAAAAAGAAATTTACTTTCTTTCCAGGTGCTGAAAAACTTATCAAGGAGGCAGTTGTCAAAGTAGATGTTGTGGGGCTTTTAAGAGAAATTGTCATGAAGAGAAAATATACTAGAATCAATTCCTGAAAAAGTCAAGGATAGGGACACAGTGATTTAACATCTGCTGGAGCAGACCATACGTTCTTGAAAAGTTCAAATAATAAAATAGAGGAATGTTTGTAGGATGCAAAAAGCTTGATTTGTTTAGCAATCCATAATGAGATACAGAATTGCCCTAGATGTTGAAGCATTCTGAAACCAGTTTATCCTGTTTTTTAATATTGCATGTTTTAGGCACATCTGAATTCAGTCGATTCTCATGTGGAACATGGACAATCAATTGGTAGTCTTTAACTCAAAATGTTTGCGTTGGGATCACCTAATCGCAAATTCCGTGTGGTAGGTTTTGCTTTGGTCTGAATTGCTATTTCTATTCAGTATTTTTTTTAGGAAGATCAACAATACAATCATGCCTGAGATAAATACAGATGAATTGGATGAGCAGCAAGTGCAATTGCTGGCAGAGATGTGCATCCTAATAGATGAAAATGACAACAGGATCGGTTCAGACACAAAGAAAAACTGCCACCTGAATGAAAACATTGACAAAGGTAAAATATGATTTAAAGTATATAATAGGCAAGGAGGATCTTGCTTAGCTCAACTGGATCAAAGACTTGCTGTATGATACAAAGCTACATTTCTTGCCTCCAGATACCTGACCTTTAGATATAGATCAAGATAGAGTCAGAAAGGGAAAAATGCTGTTGATCAAGTATGTTTGGATTAATACTGTTCTTCAGACATTACAAACATTTTGATATAGAGAAGCTGAAAAGTTTCTCACAGATTACTCTTATCTCTGACATAGCCTGTCATTCCATTTAGATTTAGTATTACATATCTTTTACCAGCTGCATATGAATTTAGAAGTTCTTTCTAAGCATCGGTAGAAAGCATGAATTCATTTGTCCTTTATTGTCGTTGCTTGCAGGCTCAAGTTAAAAGAGGGTACACATTTTACTTTGCCTTGGCAAATGTGGGCTTGGCAAATTCATGACCTCTAGTGGAAGAGAAATAATAAAGATTGTTTTAGTAGATGCTTTGGGAAAAATAAAAAATGTTGGGTGACTTGCTATTAAATAGACATAAGGAACAGATTATTTAAATAAAAGGACAATGAATTAACCAAGTGGGGATTTGCTTCTAAGTGATGTAAAAGGTGTTTGATTACATATTCTGTAAGCAAGAAGTTTCAGAACTAATTTATCAATGGCTTAAATGACATTTTCCCTGGAGAGAAAGGAAGCACATAAGCCATTGATTTCAGTAGAAGTAGAAGACTTATTTTGTGCCAATAAATTTTAGGCTAAAGTTCAACTCCTTAAGGCTATAAAAATATCTAGGTTTATTTCTTAGGTAAAAGCTTCAAAAGAAAGTTAGAAGCTATGCAATTAATATCTTATTCAAAAAGAACTAACACTATTGTATTTCAAATAAGAATTTACTTAGACTTAGACTTTGTAGAAAGAATTGCTTCCTTATGAAACATTACAGGTAGTCCTTGACTTAACAATTATTCATTCAGCAACCACTTGAACTTATGGTGGCACTAAATAAAGAGCCTTATCCATGCCCAAACTTATGGCCATTGCAGCACCTGCACCATCAAATGAATAAAATTTGGGCAGTCAGTAGCCCAACTGCAAGGGTGCTATAACTTCCTCCACCATCTCTCCCCCCCCCTTCTCTTGGCCCCTTGGGTTTTGTCACTCTGTCAGCTGACCTTGGTCGCCATCTTCTTGTTGCCAATGCTGATGAGGCATGCCCAGTTTTGTTGCTGGGTCATGGGAGATGGTTTGTCCTGCAAGAAAAGGAAAATAGAAACAAAGAGGCTAGAACGTGCTACAATGCCTTTTTGCACTGCATTTCTGGACTTTATGGGGTTGGCTTTGTGCTTTTTTCTTTTTCCTTGTGTGAAGCCAGCAGCCCAACTGGGCACACTCGGCAGCAGCAAGAGCAAGAAGGCAGCAAAGGTCATCTGGAGCAGCAGAGCAAGATGGGCAAGGTCAATCTTGGTGTGCAGGCTAGTGAGGGCAATTAGGCTAGGGGGCCTCTGTGGCTATAGAAGGAGCAACCTCAGAAAAAATTGAGCTGAAATGGGTACTCAGCTAATGACCAGTAAAATTCACTTAACAGTGGCAATAGGAATTGCAGTCACCCAAGCAATCATCTTGCTTTACAACTTGCTTTACAGCTGCATTGTTAGCAACCAAAATTCCAGTCCCAATTATGATTGTAAATTGATCATTACCTATAGTCTTAAAATTAACACAAAAGACATTAAATGGATTATCTTTGCAGTATAACATTTATACAGTCTTTGCCTGTCTTTCTGTACTAGGATTATTGCACCGTGCTTTCAGCGTCTTCTTGTTCAACACAGAGAATAAGCTATTGTTGCAACAGAGATCAGATGCCAAAATCACTTTTCCAGGTATGTAATAATGAATATTACAGTGTAGCAGAGATCCATCTGTAGTTTGAATACATTTTGAGCTCTTGTCGTCTATTAAATGTTAAAAGAATGAGATTTTCTGGTAAAGCAAAGCCTTGAAAAGTTGTGTGATTATATTTGTCAACAAACAAATAATTGGGAAACAAGGTGAGGGCTGAAGGTGACCCAAAAAAATTGAGATTAGACAAAATACTGCAAGTGTCTTCAACATCTGAAGCTGAAAAACAGGCAGCAAAAAGTTCACAAACGAAGGCAAATATACATGTGCCATATATATATATATAAAATATTGCAGGATCCAATCTAGATCGGTCAGCAGGCCAAATGTGAGCTTCCAGCTTTCATGCTGGAACTCATCTTGAGGGAACATTGGTCTCATCAGACTGTGAGAGAGAATTCTGGTGAAAGAGAAGTTCCTTGAGAATGGGCTCCAGCATGAATCCAAAAGTTTGGCAGACTATACCCTTGGTCCCGGTTACCAACACAGACTGAATCCTGCAGCAAAAAGTTCATTGTCACACTGGGCTTTAAGGTATGAGAGAGAGAAAGGGGAGATCCTGGGCTTAAATCTGGAGATAAATGTGACTGATTCCTAGATTCTTCAGTAATTGATTGTCATTGTCATTAAAAGCTCATTCAGTGGGCAGGGACAGAATATTCCAAAGCAAACCTCTGTATTATCTGAAAACTTCAAACTACAGCATTTCAGATACTCTGCTGTCCAAAATGGTGCAGGACCTTATTAAAACTTTTCATTTCTTTTTCGAAGACTGTTTTACCAATACCTGTTGCAGTCATCCACTAAGCACCCCCCTTGAACTGGAAGAAAATAATGCCCTTGGCATTAGAAGAGCTGCGCAGAGAAGACTGAAAGCTGAGTTAGGAATTCCACTGGATCAGGTAAACACTCTTCAGAGCAATGACTTCCTTGGGGAAAAGTTGTTGCATAGCATTTAGTTATTTGGCAATCCCATTTGTCTAATTACAAATCAAACCTACAATATTTATTTGGAAACTCATAACCTGCTTTATTCCCAAAAGCCTAGAGCAGGGAACTGTTAATACAATGCCATATTTGTACTGTCTCCCTTTTTAAAACTAGTGTGCATAGTTAGCTCTGGTGTTTTATCTCAACATTTGTGTTTTGGAGCAAGATGGAGAGCATACCTTCCAAGCTATACCAAAGTTCTAGTTTTCAAATTCATCCTAAACTACCACGTAGTCACAATATGCACATTACCAGATGTAAAAAAAAAAAATTGAATAAAATTGTCCAGTCACAAGCTACAACGCCATAAAGAGAACCTTTGTTCAGGTTTACATTTCTTGATGGCTAAACAATTTTGGACCTTTTTTCAGCAGTCCTTTTTCCCAAAGCAAACTCTATCATTGTCTTCTATGGAAGTATTGCCAAAATGGCACAAGGGTAAAATAGCTACTCTTTTGTGTATTCTGTTTTTGTCCTAGAAATGTGCACAAAATATCTGTATGGCCAACTGGGTGGGCATGGCCGGTCCCTCGCTGTCTCCTGGACAGCCCCTTGGTACAAGGCCAAGGTGGGACTAATTGCCAATAGGTATTAGACAGGAAACTTCAGCTATATCTCCATATCTAGAATGCTGAGTAATAAAAAAAAAATCTACAAATATTAACAGGATGCATTTTCATTACTAAAACAATTTTCAGAACATAGTTTGAACCTGCGATGTTTCAGGCACAATTGCTCCATCACTGTATAATGTTCAGAAAAATACCACAATTCTCATCATTTAGAGAAGATAGGTAGGGAACATACAAAAATTCATTTTGGTTCTTGTCAGGGCCCTGGTTACATAAAGTATGCTATGAAATGCCTGAAACCAAGGAAACGCCATTGCTCTTCCTTCCAATAACTTGCTTTTATATCTATATTGAGATGTTCTGGAAATGAGAAAGAAAATCTGTTTTAAAAACTAGATATGGAATCTTTTGAAACATGTTTGATTGTAGGTCACTCCAGAAGAAATCTTCTACCTAACCCGAATTCACTACAAAGCCCAGTCCAATGGAACATGGGGAGAACACGAAATAGATTACATCCTTTTTGCGCAGAAGAATGTAACGCTGGATCCAGATCCCAATGAAATTAAAAGCTACTGTTACGTGACGCAAGAAGAATTGAGAGAACTGCTGGCAAAGGCTTCTCGAGATGAAATTAAGATTACTCCGTGGTTCAGACTAATTGCAGACACTTTTCTCTTTAAGTGGTGGGATAACTTGAATAATTTGAAGAGATATGTTGATCATGATAAGATACACAGAATGTAACAAATTAGGCTGTTCTAAAATATCATACCTTAAAATTTTTCATACTGAAATTGTTTGTTGAAGAAATGTATTTGTAGATTGATTGCAACATAGGAAATTAGGAGTAGGCCCCTTTAAGTGGAAGTTAGATATTTATCTCACATTGCATAGCTGTCTTGCTCCCGGAATAATATTTCTTTTCCTTTCATTTCATGGGTATTAAGTCATTAACAAGTTTGCACTCCATGAAAAACCGCTGTTAAGTCTGATGAGTCACCAAGCCACAATGCCATGGGAGTAATTAGGGCTTGATTACAATCTCTCCCACAATGGTCTGTTTGCACAATATGGAATGCATCAGCTAACCAGTCTTAGGTAAAGTAAAATGTAGGTGAAATGAAGAGGTGAACCTGAACTAGTCGACTCTAAAAGCTCTTTCATATTTTATACCAGTCTTACTGAAGCATGCAGCACAGCTGTTTTTCTATACTGTCCCCCTTCAAGCTACCTACTTATCTTTCAAGTAATTAGCACTTTCATATTTATACTTTACACTGTTCCGTGTTTGACTTGCTTTTGAAGAACCTATTCCCTTGTAAGCTATTCTAGCACGTAATATATTTTCCCCATTAGAAAAGATACCTGATATTTCAAAAGAGAAATGTTAAAATTTCTGTACCTGTAGATTCTAAATAGGTCTTTCCTGTAAGAATTAAGCTATGATCTAAAAGAAAGGAAATCTTAAATGTAAATAACTTTTTCACAGAACCTTGAAAAATACCTCAGCTATTAACAGAACCAAGAAGGGAAAGATTGTTAGGCATATCCTGTGGTCTAGGGGGGAATGGTGTTGGTGTATTCTTCATAAATACAATTATGAACCATGAAAATTAAAGTTTAAAAATTGAATCTGATTGGTGTGTTGAAATTTCCTATTGATTAGTTAATGTAGAATCAAAAATAAATGCTTTTGTGTTCTTAATAATCACTTGTTAAATGTAATTGTAGGCTGGAGGATTGGGTAATTTTACTATTTGTACTATTTGCAGGACAAAACTGGCCCATAGTCCAAACATTTTAAATGCTTGAGTAACACTTCCAGATCCTCCAAGGAAGAGAGGAACAACTACACCTTGGACATATTTCAAATGGCTTGTCATGGCCTCAGTAATCTATTTTGGGAGCTCTAGGTGGACTTTTAAGGTGTCAGTTTTGCAATTTAAAAAGGATTACCAAACATTGGCTAATACATCACTTTTACTTTTTAAAATTTTCAATTGATTCTTAAAGCAAGGGTAGTCTTTTCAATCACTTACTACTAGAAGGGATGTGAGTAGTAAAAAATGGTTTTCTATCCTTTTTCTCCTCCCTTGATAATGTAATGTTTAAAATGCAGCAGCCCTGATCTTCCCAGCTGCTTCCATTCTCTTCCCCCCCCCTCCTCAGCTGTTTATGTTCCAGCTGTGTCTCTTTATTTCACTAGCCTCAGGAACAAACTCCCACCATGGCTACCCAACAGCCTATTCCAACCACCACCACCAGGCGTCGTAGTGCCTTTTTTTGTAACGCTGCTGCAAATATACACATACATCATGGCCAGTCCCCTTATTTGGGGCTCTTAACACCCTTTGAAACCATTTCTATTTTAGAACAGCTGTATTTTACTTCACAATCCAGGTTAAAATGTGTTTTCCTTCCATAGCAGACCAAAATTTCAATATAAATCTACCCCAAGCAGCTGTTCTGTGCATGAACCAGTTTGCATACCCATAGTTTGAATGTTTATCCCCAGTTAGGCCACAGCCCACTAAAGGTCTCACATGGTTTGAATAGGCTGTTTGCCAAAGTATACCCGTCAACCAGAATTGTTGCTCTATAGTTGCAGTTTAAGGAAACCATGCTCTCATGATTGAATAACCCAAGATAGCAGTTTTGAAAATTAGACCCGTAACAGTTAAAGAGAACTATTTTAAAGAAAAACAAAAAGGCAAATTTCAATGCTTGCAATTTATTTATTTCTCTCAACATAGAGACATTTTTTTTTTAATTTCTTTAATAGTTGCTTTATCTTCGAGTGGTTGAGCCGGCTTTTCTCTTCCCTGAAAACAGGTGTTTGGGCTTAAGGTCAAAGACAGATCTATCAGCTTCACCTTTCTTGCCCAACTGATTCATCTCCTTTTGAGCCTTCTTCATCATAGTTTTTGCTTTCTTCACCATCTATTAAAAAAAAAACATTTGCACGTGAAAAGGTGCACATTCCATACATTATGAATTTAATTATTACATGGCCACATATTGCTCCATGTATGTTGAACTTCAGTTTCCATGAAAAAAAAAACTATTCAAAGCTGAAAATGCACATTATAGATAACCCGGATGATAGTGAATATATGCACTTGCAATAATTGAATAAACTGATAAAACTGAAACATACTTTAGCATCGCGAAGACCAGAGACATCACGAGGGGTAGTAGAGCGGCTGCGGCTTAGTGGCATAGATGCAGGTGATTCAGAATCTTCTCGCTTACGTTTGCGGGTGGTAGTGCGTGATCTTCTTCCCTCAGCTAAATAATGTACCTGAATATTTGCAGATAAAAAAACCCAATCAGAGACCTTAAAAAATTAAATCAGATGCCTTGCTGCAACCCAGTGTTTCATTAACATCTTGAGAACCTACAAAGAGTAAAACTCTTTGTAAACATTTTAATTACAGCTGTAGCAATGATATAGAAGGAAATAATAAGCAAAAAAAAAAAGCACATCTTACCTCACTGTTGCTAGTTATATCAAGTCCAAGATTTGTCATCTCCTGTTCAAGGGCTTTTTGTTGCACCTAAAGCCAGAAGTAGAAAAAAATTCAGAGGTTATAAAGAACAGCATTTCTGTCTATTAGCTCTGGGCTGCTTCCAGTGGGTTTACTTACACATAGTAAGAATATCAAAGAAACCACAACCCCTCTCACCCTCAAAATACCTTCAATGTACCAACGAATGACTTCACAGCTCACTCCACAATCAACTCTACCACATGCAGCCTCTGCTGCTCTGTTTTTATAGCTGCTTCTTATTGGGCAGGTGGGCTGGCTAAGGTGAGGTCTTAAAGGAGCAGGGCACTATATCCCAGATACTAGCTAATTTTCAGGTATTCTGCCTTCTCATGCTCAGTGGCTCCTACAATTTGAATCTTCTAGATGTGTCACTAAGGAACCTAGGGAACAGCCCTAAACTTCTCAAAAGCAAGGGAGAGCAGAGTTCAGAGCAGCACAGCTGTTTGAGGTGAAAAATCAACAGTTCCAGTGCTCTTTTGCTATTCCACATCTGGGAAAGACTGTCTCAGTAACAGTCATTTTGAAATTTTACCAATTAACAAGTTTGGGTAAACAGGCAGCAGGCAAAGGTGGCCAAATGGCTATTCTTTGAACTGTAGCATGGAAATCGCACAATGCATCCCAATGCAACAAACCTTGCAAACAAAGTATATTTGCTGTAGTGGTTAAGGCACTAGGCTAGAAAGCAAGAGACCACTATGACTATGCAGATTCTCAATCATCCAAGTCATGGTTGTCCCAAAGGTGCTTTTTCAAAAGGCAACTGGACATTCTTGGTTTTTTTCCAACATTTTGTCTGAAATGGTATAGGGTTTCCTGCCTGATCAAGGGGTTGGACTAGAAGATCTCCAAGGCCCCTTCAATCTCTGTTCTTCTATACTGAAAGTTCTTCAGTGCTTTTTGTGTACATTTCCAGGACAAAAACCAAGAAAACCTAGTTTTTCCTAAAGGTTAAACTGATTAGAGATTTCAGAAGGAAGATTATCATATGTACAAGCCTGCAAATTAGGGAAAGAAACATAAACCACAATTGTCCTCTACTTCAAACATGGTTGTATAGCCTATTTTTGAATTCTTAGCAAAATTAAGAATTCTGCTACTTAAAAAAGATAGCACATGTAGGAGGATGTTCTATTTATTCATTCACTTGTATCCCATCTTTATTATTTTTACAAATAGCTCAAGGCAGCAAACATATTCAACACATTTTCCTCCTCCTATTTTCCTCACAACAACTCCTTTGAGGTGAGTTGAGCTGACGGGAAGTCACTGGCCCAAAGTCACCCAGCTGCCTTTCCTAGTTAAATTAGGGCTTGAACTCATTGCAACTTTGTCGCAAATACGCTTTTCCTTAAAAAAAAAAACTTCCATCTTTCCAAAAATGGTTTTTTTTCCCCTTGGAAATGTTTCACTTCTCATCCAAGAAGCTTCTTCAGTTCTTCCACGAGTTCAAGCCCTGACTTAGCTAGGAAAGCCAGCTAGCTGATTTTGGGCCAGTCATTCTCTTTCAGCCCATCTCATGGGTTATTGTGAGGAAAACAGGAGGAGGAAGGTAGGTTGGATTTGTTGGCTGTTTTGAGTTATTTGTAAAAATAATAAAGGTGAGATAAAAAAAAGAATGAATAAATAAACATGGTTTACATCCTATTTTTGAATTCTTTACAAAATTGATGCTTTTATTAATCAAAAAAGACAGCAAATGTAGGAGATTGCTCTACATTTGCTGCCTTTTTAATTAACAAGATTTTTAATTTTGCAAAGAATTCAAAAATAGGATGTAACCATCTTTGAAATGCAGAAGAATTTGGGTAACCATGTTTGAAGTGGAGAAGAATTGTGGTTTATGTTCACCTTTCCTAATGTGTAGGCCTCCAGATATGGTGGTCTCCCTACTGAAATTTTTAACCAGCTTTACTTTTAGGGAAAACTGGGTGAAGTAATTGTGTACTTAAAATGCTTCTATCTAATTGCTTGGATAGTGGTCACTATAAATACACTGGAGTTATATGGACTACAGGGAATCCTCACTTACAACCACACTTGAGTACAAAATTTCTGTTGCTAGGCAAGAGTTGTTAAGTGAATTGGTCATTAAGTGAATCTGTCTTGCCCCATTGACTTTGCTGGTTAGAAGCTGGCTAGGAAAAGCCATAAATGGTGATTACATGATCTCCAGGACAGTGCAACTGTCATAAATACAGTTGGTCCTCAACTTTCAATAGTTCATTTAGTGACCGTTTGAAGTTACAATTGAAAAAAGTGACTTATGATCTTTTTTCACATTTACAACTGTTTGTAAGATCTCCATGGTCATGTGATCAAAATTCAGACGCTTGGCCACTGGTTCATATTTATGATGGTTACAGTGTGCTGGGGTCATGTGATCACCTTTTGCAACCTTCAGACAAAATCAATGAGGAAGCCAGATTCACTTAACAACTGCAGCAATTCGGCTTAACAACTGGGGAAAGATAGGTCATAAAATGGGGCAAACTCACTTAACTATCTTGTGTAAACACAAATCTTGGGCTCAATTGTGGTCATAAATTAAGGATATGCCAGTTGACTATTGGGAGGCTGTAATGGCTGCAAGTGTGAAAAGAGGTTGTAAGTCATTGCCCTCCAGGTCAAAGGCTCTCCAGAATCTTCTGAAGATTACTTGTCTTCAGGGACTGTTTTCTTTCTGCTGACATGCTTCTGCGGACTACTGAAGGCTGCTCTGGGTCACAAGTGACCTCCAAAGAGCCGCAATGGCACAGTGGTTAGAGTGCAGTACTGCAGGCTAGCTCTGCTGATCCCCGGTTGCCAGCAGTTTGGCAGATCGAATCCCACCAGGCTCAAGGTGGATTCAGCCTTCCATCCTTCCAAGGTTAGTAAAATGAGGAGCCAGATTGTTGGGGGGCAACAGGCTGACTCTGTAAATCGCTTAGAGAGGGCTGGAAAGCACTGTGAAGCGGTATATACCGTGTTTTTCGGAGTTTAAGACGCACTTTTTTCCCTCCTAAAAGAGATTGAAAATTTGGGTGTGTCTTATACTCTGAATGTAGCTTTTTCAAAGCTATTTTTCAGCTCTAATGGAGC